GTGTATCTTGCCATTCAGGTAAGCCTGCCTTTGTGATAATATCACCGTAATATTCAGGTTATTCCCAGTCCTAAAGAACCAGTCACTTATCCCAGGTCAATTGCACCTTAGATCTCACCAGACACTTGTAGCCAATCCTATTAAAAAAGATTTATTAACTAAGAAAAAGAAATAAGTTATTTACAATATTAAAGCACGTAAACATACAAACACAAATGAATTACAGTCTTAAGTTTCAAAGAGTAATAGAAGCTTCTACAATATAAAGCTTGCTTATGTCCTTCAGGGCTAACCCAGGACAAGCACTTTTGCTTATGCTTAGTAATCCTTGACCCTCAGAGTCCAAGCATCATAAACATACAGTTTTTTCCTTGTTAGGGATTTTTATTCACTTCCCACAAAGATCAAGCTGATTGGATGAGTCCAAATGGATGTCTCCTCTTCATGGGTGTGGGGCGAGCCTTTTGTGTTTTGGAATCTTTTGTCCTTTGGTGTTCCACAATGATTTGTCTGGTGATTATGGGCCTTCTTTTGTTGGGCAGGAGGCAACACCTCCTGTGGCAAAACTAGTATTTCAGATGTGGTAATGCTTCTCTCCTGACTAGTGGTTTACTGTTTCAGAGCAAAAACAACAAGGAGTCCAGTGGCACCTTAAAGACCAACAGATTTATTTGGGCATAAGCTTTCGTGGGTAAAAAACCCACTTCTTCAGTTATAGAGCAAAAACTCAAATATTACCTTATAACATAGGACACAGATATTAAAAGTGAGATTAATGCATGCAGCAACTTATAAGCATTTCATAAAGTATAAACACTAAACATACTCTTATAAATCTAATACCTATTTTAACAATACTAACACACAGGTGAGTCAGACTTGTTTCCAGTTATGTATTGGTCAGTGTGCATTTGAGGCCTAGGGGCCTTGCATGAGCTGGCACCTGGTCTGCTAGCATCATAAGGAGTTCACATCTATTACCTCTGGTTTGATCACTTACCATACATAATATGTGAGTGTGTGTGTACAACTATTATAGTCACAAAGAACCATCATACCAACAATGCTGAATGGCACTTGGAGAAAACAGAGGTCTTGATGAGGGGCAGAGATAGCCTCGAAGGACCTTCTGGGGCCGAAATGTTGATCGTCGGATCCTCAGACTCCTCCACCTCCTTGGCCTGCAGACCCATGTTGCGCACCACCCTGCGAAGAAGGTCCTGGTGGGCGCGGCTGTCTATGGGGGGCAGTCCGGAGACAGAGGTGCCCGCAACAGCCTCGTCTGGGGAGGACGACGAGGAGGCTAATGAGGGAACAGGGTCCTCCTGTCCCTCCTGCTCGGCAGAAACCTCCCGTCCTGTCTTGCTGGCTGGACCA